AAATTTTTTTAAAAAAATTTACCTCTTCAAAATCTTGGTGCGTTTTAAACTCTGGTGCATCTTATAGTCCGAAAGATACCGTATGTATGTATGTATGTATGTATGTATGTATGTATGTATGTATGTATGTATGTATGTATGTATATCACTAATATTGTTTATTATTGTATTGTTAGAGGTTTGAATAGTAGTATGACTTTAAAATGCAGACTTTTGGTCATATAGTTGATTTTTCCCTTATGCTTTTGTATACTAGAAAGCTGATGACTCATTCGGTCATCCTTTCATAGATATTTCCTTACCTAAACAAAGAAACATACCCCAGACAGGCAAAGAAGCAGGAACAATTTTGAAATTCCTGCTGGCTTTCTCATTGATTTTGCTCATGAAAAACAGGCAAGGAAGGTTAGAAATCACTCCTTCCCTCCTCCTTGGCTGATCTGCAGAATTGTCTGCCACTTTGCTGAGTGAGCACAAAGGAAGTTATGGGCTGCAAGGAAAACAGTATCCCAGCGTATCCCCAAGGTCCAATTCAGGAAGAAAGAAGGTTCATTTGTCAATTGCTGGCATCTCACAACCATTCCTATCTTGCCAGCAGGCATCTGATTCAAAAATTCTAGTAAGAGAATCTTTTTGAAGAGCCTTCCTTCAGCTGTGTGGTAGTTAATCAGAACTTATTCAAGGAATCCTTTTTATATTTTTATTTTTTGTTCTTTTCTTAAACCAGCCTCAGTATGAGAAACCATCAATGCCAGCTCAATTTACAGACAGATCTTTGACCCAATGTGAAAGGGAGCAAGTTAAGCTTGCATCAGTACCAAATAAGGAGATGCAACTCAGTGAGTTTTTGAAAGAAATAGTAAACAAATCCAATGAAGATAAAAAGAAAATGGAAGAGAAGGTGAGTCTCATATTGACTTTATTGAATCATTTGATCACTATAATTCAAGCATATATTGTTAGTGGTGTATGCTGCATTTCAGGCTGCAAATTTATTTACTGGATATTTAGATCATTCACTAGGATAATTTTCCCGTTTCGTATAATTGAGAGAAACATTTCTTCTTTATTGCTTTATAGTGCCCTATATTTTCAGATAAAGATAATTGAATATTAGTTTCATTGAAATCATCCGGACAAATTGCTTGTGACAAGTCTCATTGATTTAAGTGAGAGTTAGGTTTAAATGACTACATCCAATTCATTCTCTTGTGGGATAGAATTTATACTTCATGTTATACCCTAATGCAGCGGGCCCCAATCTTTTGGGCACCAGGGACCGGTTCCATGGAGAGAGGCTTTTTCTTTGACTGGAGGGAGTGTGGTTTTGTGTGTTGTCTGCATCCCATGTATACGCAGATGGAGCTTTGCTCATATTCATGGCCCTATTTCTGGCACACCACATTTCTTGTGCCAGTCCGTGGCCTGGGAGGTTGGGGTCTCCTGCCGTAGTGTGCATAGTTAATTCAGTTTCACCATCGTTTTTGTGTTCTTTATTACCTCACCTTTTGTTTTGTTTCAGATTATAGCCACTAGCGAAATAAATACTTACAGAGAAATTATATCAATCCTAATAAAATCACATATTTCAGCAAAATTCTGTACAGCTTTGTATGGTCTGAAAATGAAAAATATATTTGCTAAGCTTTAGCTAATTATGAAAATGGATAAAAATATGAAAAATAGTATTGTCTAATCTTATGAATCAAATTGTGCAGCCTATGAACTTTAGCATTAAACAGTTTTGTATTTTAATGTTTTATTGATAGCTTTGCATAAATATATATATCCTGAAACAAATCAGTACAAACATGGAAACATACAAAGCCATCGATAAAAAAAATAAAACACAAAACTGTTTAATATATATGATTTTTTTTCAATATACAATAGATAAAAATAAACCAACAAAAGGATATAAAGTTTTTTTTTAAAGTTTTGTTTTACTTTTGATACTGTTGTGAACCACACAGTCACATTGGTGATGTGAGCAGTTCCACAAATTGAATACATAAATAAAATTGTAAAATGGTATTTGATTTTTTGTTAGTTGCAAAGTTGTGTCCGACCCATTGCAACCTCATGGACAACATTCCTCCAAGACTTCCTGTCCTCTACCAACCCCCAGAGTCCATTTAAACTCCCACCAACTGCTTCAGTGACTCCATCCAGCAACCTCATTCTCTGTCGTCTCCCTCTTCTTTTCCCCTCAATTGTTCCCAGGATTAGGCTCTTCTCCAGTGAGTCCTTCCTTCTTATTAGGTGGCCAAGTATTTGAGTTTCATCTTTAGGAACTGGTCTTCTAAAGAGCAGTCAGGGTTAATCTCCTCTAGGACTGACTGGTTTGATCGCCTTTCAGCCCAAGGGACTCGCAGGAGTCTTCTCCAGGACCACAGTTCAAAGACCTCAATTCTTTGGCGCTCAGTCTTCCTTATGGTCCAACTTTCACAGCCATACATTGCAACTAGGAAATCCATAGCCTTGACACACTTTTGTTGGCAGGGTGATGGCGTTTGAAAAACCTATCATATTTTCCCACTGGCTTGTTGATCGCTCCTGTTAGCATGACATTTGGGTACTTTGTTTCTAGTTTATCTTTGCTCTTTTAATTAGTAATCTCTATTAGTTTTTACAATCATTAAAACTAATACAAATCGTATGCAATTGTTCATTTTTAATGTGATTAGTGAACTTAATAAATAATAAAACAAGGTATATAATGGATGGTAATAGATACTAAATATAAGTATCTTTTGTCTTTGTAAAAAATATTTTGTACTTACTTGAAATGAAAACATCATTTAGAAAAACAGAAAATATTAAAGCTATTTTATGCATATTTTTTTACATCTTAGACATAGTGTACCAGCAAGAATAAAAATTATGCTACTTTGAAGGTTTTTTCCCCCTCTGATTTGGCAGGTAATTTCAGGAAGCAGAATTTAATTGGTCTCTAGGGTGCTGGTATTAATAAAACAAGACATAGTTCGGATAGACAAGTAGGTGAATCTTGTAGAAATGTTTAATTATGAAAATATTACACTAAGCAAAAGTATGCAGTCTTTGAAAAAAATCAACATTATATTATGTCACTGATATTTTTATTAAAATACTAAACAATCTTTGACCATTGGATTTATTGTTTCAGAGATATTTCCTTGCCAGATTCTTCAATGCCTTCAACAATGTCAGAACTTATAACACACTGCCTTTACCGGAATATGTTGGGTTAGATTCAGAAATGTATCTGCCTTGAAAATAGCCCACATTAAACAGTACAGCACAGTCAAATATCAACATATGAAATCTTTTATGACATTAAGTACTATGTCATAAACTATTTTATGATGATTTGTATGTCCTAAAATGTTTTATGGTATATAACTTTGCCAAATTTCAATTCTATGGGAGTCCTAGCCTCCAGATTTTGGACACATTCTGTAAGTTAGCCCATTTTAAGTACCTTGCTTCAAAAATTATTGTCCTATGATGCACTGTTTTGACTAGGTAAAGGTTACATTTTTAGTAATATATAAATAGATAGTGCTGGGAAAAAAGGTGATTGAGTTTGAAAAATAAATCAACCTATTCTTTTTTATTGGTTTCTTGCTTCACATTACATAACATCTAATCTTACCTTTATTTCTAGCTCAGAACCCGAGACAGGTACATAAGTAGCCTAAAAAAGAAATGCCAGAAAGAATTCGAACAAAATAAAGAGAAACAGAGGCGAATCGAAACACTTGAAAAATACCTAGCTGATTTGCCAACACTGGATGATGTTGAGAAGCAAAGTAAAGAGGTAATCGATGCGTTGATTTGCTTTAAAAGCAGCCCTTTCAGAGGTTTTGCATTTTAGTGCTTCCCACCTACCCACAGTGTCCTCTATACAGTTTCCATACTTCCAACAGAAATCCCTTTAGCTATCAATTGTGTTCAGAATTATTGAATACACAGACATAAATCCAACAATGCTCCTATACCAGTGCAATAGCCCAACTGATATTAGAGTATCAGTTCCTAGTTTCCCCTGCAGCCTCCTGGTTCTGCTTTCCAGAAGTTATATGAGAGTTTCTGCAGAAGGAAAAAAGAGAAGAGAAAATCTTAATGCACAAATAAAAATTGCTTGCCTTAAATTTCCTTGTCAGATTTTAAATTGACAGGTACATCAGTTGGTGTGTGTGTTGTGAGGAGGAATGGGTATGTATGCACACATGTGCATGCATCTGTGTTTAAGGAAAAATTAATTATGAAAAATGATGTTAATTTTCAATTTTATAATAATAATGGACTTGACCCAGGTAGTTCAGAGTCCGACTCATAAGGTGGGACACACGCTTGACCTTGTATTTCTCTCGGGGCAGTGGAGACGTGATCTTGATTTAAGGGAATAGAAATCTTACCCTTGTCATGGTCAGATCACTCCTTGCTGAGGCTTGACTTCATGACACTACTCCCCCATTGCAGGGAGGNTCTAATAAAATGGACCTTTGAGGAATGCCTCGCCTCGCCCTGACAAACCGTTTGAGAAAGCTAATTAGCTTGGGGTGGGAGACATAAATTATGTAACATGAAGAAAGGAAAATAAGTAGCCCAGATTTTCCTGGGGGAAGCAGCAACTGGGAAAGGAATTCCCAACCATACAAGCTGTAGAGGTACAAGAACTGAGTTCTTTCAATTGCACTTTCAAGGGTACAGATTAAGTCAGGTGAATTACAAGCTACAATATGTAATAATCAAAAGGTGTTACCTTGGTATGAAAATGCATGGAAATTGGAATGTACTCATAAATCCAAATATGTAAGTGCAATAAAAATATATTGTTATAGCATAAGTAAAATATATAAAAGTTAAATTTTACATACCATTTGCAGATTCATTGATATATGTTGGAGAAACATTTTCTGTTCTGAGATAACTTACATTCTGCATTTCCCATTAAGAATGCCATTTACATAAGGGATCTTTCCCCATTCAGATCAACAAAAGAAGAAGAATCATTTTTTTTATTTTTTAAGTGTCAAAAGTGTTGTGAATCCACTCAAATGAATCAGAAGGCTTCATAGACATCAGAGTTTTATATGCTCAATGAAAATCACAGGAACAGGAATAAAATGTTGATCACCTCATTAATTTAATTCAAACAGTCAATACAAATTACAAAACTACGTTTGAGATAATAAAATGCTAATTCCATCTCAAATGTATATGAGGATGAAAATTGAAGTTGAAAATAAGACTCAAGTGAATTGACTTTTTTCCTTTCTTATAATTTCCAGGCAAAACCAGCAAATTAGCCTTCTGTATCAGAAAATAAGAGAGAATGAACTACGAGCTCAACAAGCAAGAATAGGGCATGTTGTAAATTGTGAAGAATCATACATGAATAGTTTCCAGGTATGATGAGGTTCTTGATCTGTATTTGTTATTATTAGTCTAATGAAAATCCTAAATAATTCAACCTCCTTAAGGACAAGTTTATATTAACATTATAATGAAACATCCTGCTTTCCACATTTCGAAGTATAAAAGGAATTTGATGCATAGCGTAAAGGAGCACTTTTTCATTTGAATATTGTTTGAAATCAGTACATTATATGTGTTATTATTTCCTTACACTGGAAATAATACACCTTTTTCCCTAAAAAAAGAATTGAATACAGCATTTTTGGCCTCCCAAAACCCCACCCCCGCGCATCCTGTTTTTCACAAAAATGGACATGCAGATGTTTGGGAGGCCTGCAAAGTGCTCCTGGGGGCTGGGGAGGACAAAAATGAGTGGACAATGAGCCATTTTTACCCACTTTTGCCCCCTTAGCCCCCAGGAGCACTCTATAAGCCTCCCAAAGCCTATGCATGCCCTGTTTTTTTGCAAAAAAAA